TTCTCTTCGGGTTTCAGGTCGAATAGAGCACTCCGACTGATTGCTGTTGAAGACCGGAAGTGGAGCACGACAATAAGAGAGACCCCGGAAAAGTTATGGCTCACAGGAGTGTGATTTCAGATTCCGGTCGGGAGGAAACGAGGGAGGGAGGAGGGGAAATGGCGAGGATAGTAACCGGGAAATATGTTTTTGGCAACAATACGAGCGCGTTGGCACCGGGATACCTGTCGGGACGTTGTCAGGAGGAGTGTGAGAAAGAGAGAGAGAGAGAGGAAGAGAGAGGGGAGGGGGAAAGAGGGTGGTTCCCTCGGCGAGCGAAAATTCCTTTCCGAGATGAAGCTGCGAGACTGAGTTGTAGACAAGGCACTAAACAGCGACTCGACTTTAATTTCACCGACGGATCGCCGCTCGACTAATTTGGAATTCACTCAACAGTTCGCTAATTACAAGCGGCCGAAGATTCGAGGCGCGCAACTTCGGGAGAACGCGAGTAAGTAACGAGACCCGCTCAACTCGCCGCGCCGATTTGCCTGCGTTCGTCCCTTCGCCGTCATCTCGAAAACGATCAACCGATTAAAAATTATTATTATTATTATTGTCTTCCCGGTACTTTTAGCGTTGAGAGAAGTGTCTTCGGAAGTCGTCAGCGAATCTGTCGATCGTCCTAATCCATCGCGCCGTCCAAATTATCGGAACCTCTCCCGAGCGAGATCTCGCGACAGGTCGCGACATTTATTCGCGGATTTTCCACGCGGCTATTAACGGCACACCGTTCAGCTATTTCCGCTTTACGTCCTTCCTTCGCCAAGGAAGAGTCGGCGAACTCCGGGCGGGCGGAAGGGTGCGCTTGTACGACGAATCGGAAACCCGACTTATCCGTACGCGCCCCTCGATTCGAATGCTGCTCTATATCGATTGACCTTTTCTGGAAACGGTCGCGCCTCGGAAATGTCAGGGTGCTATACGCGGCTATGAACTTTGGGCCATACATCTGTTACGCCATTCAAGTCATCGCACTGTGCGAGAGCGGGTCGCGAGTCCGGCCGGAGGATGAGAGAAAGACAGATGAATAGATAGAGAGAGATAGAGAGAGAGAGAGATAGAGGAAGATAGGGAGAGAGTTTTCGTAGAAATTGCTCCCATGCCCTTTATCTCGCGCGAGCGCGCCCCCGCTAATCGAATGCGACTAGTCAAACAATAGTATAATCGATAACGGAATAGGCGCACGGTTTAGGGATATCGCGGTCGGAGGCCTGGAGGAGAGGGAGGGAGCGAAATAAAAGCGCTTTAGCGGCGGCTCGATTTAATAACGGCGAGTCGAACGGTCAATTTTCGATTCTATTCATCTCCCCGCGAAAGTGGGCTCCGACTGAATAACTAGTTGATTAAATTGTCAATAGTTAAAGACGATTATGGCCGGCGGAACGAATCGATATCAACCTGTATCGTTCAACTTTGCAGTCTCTCTTTCTCTCTTCCTCCCTCGTTACCCAAGGAGAGATATCGGTATTAATGGCGTTCTGTGTCATTAAGCTATTGACGTTTCGACCCGACCATTCATTTTCATTCGGATGCCAAAGGGATAGGACGTGCGTTAACATTGAAACGTCCCAGAAGGCCCTTCTCTCGGTAGCAGAGAGAGAGAGAGAGAGAGAGGAATTGAGTTTTGCTGCGCGCGCGACTCGGAATACGCGAACGGATACCCGCGTGCACGGACGCCACGACGGACGTAGCGATCGGCAGATTCGCTGATATTCTGAGGGAAATTACGGGGGCCGCCGACTTTCACAGCGGACTTTCACAGCATTAACGAGCTGTGCGCGCGTGATATACGCGTTATTACATAACTAAACAGACGAGCGCGCACGAGTATCCGAAGGTAACATTAGAATAGGACTGCGAGGACTGCGAAGTCGAATCCCACCGGGCGAAGTCGCGATCCATCGGCGTAAATCCGCTTGACCGATGACCTTCGCAATTGTTCTCGCGCGATCCTGCAGTCATCGCCGGCTTATCAAACCCTCTCTCGCGTGATTGAGAAAAATCCTGCCGTCGAACTCGACCCCCGAGTATCGTGCTCGGGATCTTCGTGCCCACTCGAATCGATACCCTCCCGCCCGCCGACGTCCCCGGAGAGAGCAGAAAATCACGACGATGTCAACGTGACGTGAAAATGACGAGAGTGACTGTAAAATCTCGCTTTTCCATTCGATCATTATTGAACGAGTGCGATGTAAGTTCCTACGTTCGGCGGTCTATAGGATGGGTTCTCCTATAGCGATTACTGATCATAATTATCAATCTATATTGGAAAAACTACATGCCCTTCCTCTTGTAAAGCGAATTTGCGATCTGATGTTTATGTTTGAACCTCTTCATTGCTACATTGATTGCTCAGATGTATTGCTTCTCATGAGACTTAACGTTCTTCCTAATTTCGGAGACGGTGTTCTGTTTCTCGTAACTAGAACCGTCGCACACTATACGGCTTTAATTCTCGCTTAATTTCTATAGATTAAATTATTTCTGCGAACACGCACTCCAATTCTGTGCATTTCTTTTTTCCGACGACACTCCGTTTGCATCTGAACACTCTTTTATGCGCTTAATTTTATTATCGACTAACCATTTATTTCTCTCCCTTCATCTCTGCCCTCTGGTGCTGAAGAGCTCACTCCCATTAATAAAGAAGAGTTAAGAATTGTAAGAATCAACTATCATTTGAACTATCATTTAATCGTGACTACTTGCCCCGCCTGGGATCACCGTCGCCGAGAGTGCGATTTTTATTTTCCCGTTCGCTCGATAAAAGAAGAAGAGACTCAAGGAGCCTCGGTACATCGATCGGATTCGACTGTTAACGCGTATTTCGCGTAACACAATGGGGAGAGTAAAACGCATCAACAAGTAGTTATCCAATTCCAAAACCGGCTCGGTGTCGCGCACGAAGCGAGAAACGGATTAGCGCGCTCGTGCGCGCGCGCGTGCGTCGAGTATCGGAGAATTGTGCACGTCACACGTTTAAAAACTCCAACCCTCGTAGGCGCGGGTATGCCACCTACTTCGCAGATACTCGGAATAGCGTGGCTGTAATACGCCCGACTGTGACAGCGGCACGCGAGGGAATCGACGAGCGGCCGCGGAGCATCGAGAGGGGGGATTATCTTATATCCCGTGTCGTGGTTGCATCGCATGATCGATCATTTTCTTACGAGGCCCCGCCACGAGGACGGTGGTTACCACAGCGGTGTTGGCGGTAGCCGTAACCTTGTTAAATTATTGAACGACCACCACGTCGCTAGACGAACGTGCTCCGCGCCGTAGTCACGGCCAATTCCGCGGGATATGCATTTCCGGCTCGTGGAAAATCGACACGCCAGAAATCGAGCAGTCGATCGGTCTGGGACGGCGGCGAGCGGTCTTCCGCCGAGGCACGCGAGCGAGAAACGGGGATTGACGGCGAAGGGAGGGGGGAGGATTGGCATTGACTCTGCGAGAGTCGGTTCTCTTTCGATCAAATTCAGAATAATCGGAAAGTATGCGCGCGTTAGGGCCGTTAGAAACTCCCTGATTGGGAGAGATCGCCCGAAGGTGGTGTGTGTTCATTTTCGTTCTCGTTTCAAGTTGCGGAGGACGGTAATATCGGGATTCCGCGCGAGAACGACACTTCGTTTCTCGTTTGCGAACGTAATACCGTTGAAAATTAAGACGCGCGGAAGAGGTTCGTTGAATCGGCGGGCGGGCGCGATCGAGGAGGCTGCGTTTGAATAAATTGACACTTTCCGATTCACGTGCACACCGGGAGGAGGAAGCTACATCGGAGCTACATCGGAGATAGCGGCCGCCGCGCATAACGACGGCAGAAGATGGACGTCCGGGAGGGGGAGACGGGGGGGCAGAGCGAGGGGAGATCAATTTAAAAGCCGTGACTCACTGGGACACGATGACGTAGTTAGCGCGCACGGCCTCTCCTTCAGAATTGAAAGAGAAAAGGGGCGAGGGGGTAAAGAGGACGGGAGGAGGGGGGGGGGGGGAAGAGATGCAAAGAGGAAGGGGAATNGGGTAAGAGATGCAAAGAGGAAGAGGAATCCCCCTTCCCGGTAACGATTAAGTGACGACTAATCGGGGCCAGTGCACATGAAGGGTTGCGGAAGAGAGAGAGAAGTGCGCCGGCTGTGTGTGTGAGAGAGAGAGAGAGAGAGAAAGGGAGGGAGGAGGTGAGAAGGAAGGAGAGGAGGCGAGATTCTCGAGCGGTCGACGAGCCTCGAGTATTATTCCTGGTATTCCGTGTACATTACCAGTGGTACATGCAACGACGAAGGAGGGTTGCGCGAAGAAGGGCATGGAGAGAGCAAAGGGCGCGTGCATACGTCGCGCACAATAATCCCCCTTCTCCCTTTCCCCGTCGCGGAGCGTGGGATTTCCCTCTGTGTACGGCGTAGGCTCACGCGCTGACGGTTCCGGTTTACCGAAAGCGAAAGAAAGGGGGGAAAAATACGAGAGTCACAGGCGAAGGGACGGGGTTGCGACTGNGGAGGGGGGAGGGGGGGGGGAGAAATCGCGAGGGAAACGCGAGAGAGACGGGCGAGTACCGCCCCCTTCCTTCCCGATCCCCCTCGCTGTTCGCGCTGAGTATGCCCATCGAGGCAGCGTCCCCTCGCCCCAATTATCGTGCCCGGCGCGCACCGCCTCCCGTCTGTGCTTGTAATTTGCATCCGACCTCTATTTCCTCAGGCTGGTGAGGCGCGCGGCGAGGCTGTTGCGAATGCTCTCTCCGTCGTTTGGACAATATCGTTCTGGACGATTCGGCTCACTCGAAAGCGATTCGGAGACACTCGCTGGCCGATCTCTCTCTCTCTCTCTCTCTTTCAGGATGCGCGCGAGCTACAACTGCGACGTCATCCCAAACGATGTCGTCCAGGGGGTGAGTGAACGATCCAAGAATGACGTCGGCGAGATGAGGCTGTTGATATAAGTCCACGGTATAAAAATGTATTCACCGTGGCGTCAGAGTGACCGTTCTTTGTGTGCGGGCACTTAAGGGGTGATCCATCTCCGGAGCAAACGCTCGCGCCTGCATGTACAGGGTAAAAAAGAAAGAAAGAGAGAGAGAGAGAGAGAGAGAGAGGAAGCGTGACATGCGTCGCAGCCGGGGAAGCGGAGACCCGCGACGCGCGATTACTCACGAGGCACGGGGTCATCGACGAGGTGGAGGAGGCCAGCGGTGAGCTGACGTCGACTCCAGGACCGACGACCGACGGGCATCCTTCTTCCGGTCGTCCTCTCCACCTCCCGCCTCTCCTCCCTTCTACGAGCTTCCGACGACCGATCTCCCTCCTGCGGGACGATCCTCCCCGTCGTCCTCGTCGTCGTCCGGCAACACCCACTTTCTCGGCCTCGTAACCCCGAGGGCCACGCCAACCTTCCCTCTCGCCGCGGATGATCGAGCCGCAGTGCTACTCCGGACAGCACCGCCGTCGTCGTCGTCACCACCACCACCACTACCACCACAACCACTTCCACCGCCAACCACCACCACCACCGCCGCCGCTGTCACAGTCACAACAAGTAACTCACGGCAAGCGGTAGTAGCAGCAGCAGCCGCTCGACGTACTACCGTCGGACAGTTCGCAACCCCCCTGCGTTGTCACGTGAGCTCACCGTGCGCGCTCTCTCCCTCTTCTGCCCTTGTTATCCTCCTCGCCCTCTCTCCTCGTCAGAAGCGCGAGCTATCGACTCACATCCCCGCTTTGGCAATTAATTTCGCCGCTCGTACCGTCGAGTGTCGCGCGTGGTGCGATCGCCCCCGTCAGCTTCGCCTCACATCCTCACATCGCGCGACGTCGTCCGCAGGAAATCAACCCGAGAGGAACGAACGCGCTCGCTCCGCCGCGGCCGTCGCAGTGGCCGGTGTGGCTGCGCGGCACGGTACCTCGCTACTTCGCCAGCAGCTAGCCAGCCAAAACCAGCCTCCCTCCACTCTCCCCCGCCGTCACCCCGTCTTCCCACCCCGTGGCCGACTGGAGTGTCCTAGGGAGAGCGTACGCGTGACCGTGGCACGCGCGTGTCTCACCCGGCATGCGCCCTCGATTCACGCCAGCCTCGAACACCCTTGGCGCCATCTGTAGGCTTGCGCGCGGACCGCTCGCCCACCCTCGTCGTGCAAACTTCCGAGCACTTTTCCAAGCGGCGTCCGGAGATGAAAATCATCGGTTAGACAATTTTGAGGCAGAGAATATATAAGGAGGTGTCCGTCCTTGAAGATGGAAGCTCCTCCGATCTAATTAACTTGTTGTTAATGAAAGTCGTAGAAATAGACGTAAAGAGGTTCTCTAACCTGCCGTCGAATTGTACGGTGATTTCGGTAGTCGGTAAAAATGGTGACTGCCCGTAGCGGAGACCTTCGAACTCGCGTGAGAATGGAGTTCCTTCTCTCGAAGAGGTCATGGAGGAAGTCGCTCGAAGCTTTACGACCGAGCGCGTCGGTAACGCAGATGCCTGCATGTAAAGTTCCCGAAGCTGGACACGTATCTTGATACAGTTATCGGTGTCAAATAAAGTAGCGCAAATCTTTATCTTTTTAAGGAGCTTATGTATTTTTGCACAAATTCTCCGATCGCTTAATTTGAGTTTTTAGTAATGATTAATTTACGATACGGAAATTCTTCTAAAAATGCAATTTCTGTCGATTATAAGCATTTATACGCCTTTCTTTTTTCTTTTCTCTAATAAATGTTAAAATAACAAAATAAAGAAAAATACAAATAATAAAATCTATCACTACGGTGATCGTTCAGATCGATGATATTCGATGACTTTTATATGCTTTATTTTGTTTCTCAATTCCCAAATTGTCAGTTTTATAAAGCGTTATCAAATGATTAGCTCATTTTAACATCGGTCGTAATCAAACTTGCTAGATTCAAGTAATTTAACGGAAATTGGCGTTTCGATATGGCATGATGCTTCATGTTCATACATTTGTTTTATCAGCGATAAACGACGATATTATTTGTTCTTTTAAAAGTAAGAGAAACCGCTGTACATCAATTTGTTATTCGATTCTCAAATGTTCGACTTTACAAAGCGTTACCAAGTGATCATCTCGTTTCAGCATCGTTCGTGTCTAAAGTTATTCAAACAATTTAACGGACATTTCAGCGTGGCACAATGCTCCATGTTCATACATTTGTTTCATCAACGATGAACGATGACATTTGTTCTCTGAAAAAAGTGAAAAGGGGAAACCACTTTACATCGATTTTTTTGCCACGATGTTGCGGAAAGACCCGGTGTTACGTAAACAGCACGGTATTGCGAAATGACGATGTGATTGACACCATTGTCGGGCTGGCTGGCGCTGTCGGTGAGGCAGAACAGTGTCATGGCGCGTCAACGATGACAGAGAGTGTGCTGCTCACCGACGAATCCAGCACGAAAGCCAGTATGTGGGGCGTATTTCGCTGTAACAGGGCTTTCCTCGTACTGTTCCTGATTAATGTGATCGCATTCCAAAGTATCGTATGTGAGTGCTACTCCAATTACTGTGCTAATTCCCGCTAATGTCATCGTGCATAGCGGACAGCTCGCTTGTCTGCGCGCATGCGTGCGCGTCTCTGCGCAGACCATCCAAGAATTGTTCTCAGGCCGCGCAGCCACTGACACGCTCGATGCGCTTCGGCGGGCGATTCGAAACAGAGTTGTGCCACGAGTCGCGATGTTCGCGTTACCATCGCCGCTTAGAAATTACATCTCTAAAAGATTCTCCGTCGAAATGCTGATGAAGAAATGAAATTTCGGCTAGTCTGTTTGCAGTTAGCGATGGCGGCCGCTAAGAGCGAAATCGGAAACCGTTGGGACCACCTCCGCTGGTCTCGCAACATCATTCCCGAGAGCGGGGCAAATTATTTCGGCAGCTTGGACTCGCCTCTTTCTCCCGAAAGATTGAAAACACGAGAAAATACGATTTCTGGTATCTCCATCCGTGTCCATTTTGCGTATGTCGTGTGGTCAATTGTGCGTTTCAAAAAATTGGAAAATTCAGTCGCGGAGTCGCAGAACGAGAATGTAAGTGCGCAAAGACCCCTGGCAATTGTTCGACCGAAAATACCGTTGATATCTTCCCCCACTGTCTCGAACGATGAAGACCACTTGTCACGCCACCGTTCTCGATGTTGCAGCGCGCGTCTCACGCGGAATTACGATTACAAGTCGAGCTTTAGAGAGAGTTTCTATCTCCATAAATAAAGGCCTTATTTTCAAACGCAGGGAAGGGAAGGGAAAACACAGTTGACTGATGTCTGCGTGGATTACAGAATGCGTAGTTGTTGAGCGAGAATGAAGTACACGCGATGTTTCCCGTAAACACACACACACCGAGACTGTTATTGTCACGTTTCAACGCTGTTTCGAAGTCGTCGCGCCGCGACACGCCGGCTATTTATAGCCGCTTTCGCCTTCGTCGCCTTCGCCTTTCAACTACCTTGTCCTAGCAGCCTTGTCACTCGTTCAATTCTGATCGCGTCGCGCGATGATACCGTAGTTCCCGTCGTTGAGACGCGAGTAAAAGCAACGCTGGAAAAATCCTCGTTCAGACGCGACTCGGGCAACTGAGATTTTAACGAACCTTCACACGCAGATTACCAGGAGCACACCAAATGGCAGGAATTACGGTCGAAGCTGGAGCCGGTGATAACGGATCTGCGCGACGTGCAGGGTCTGACGCACAGCGTGGTGAAGAGACTGGAGTCGCACGGGCTCTTCCTCGAGAACCTCCACGGGGGCGCCGCTAATCGTACCGTCATCTACGCGATCACGCCGACGTTCTCCAGGCCGGTGCAGAAGGCCGAGCTCACCCGGCTGGCGCAGACGTTTCTCCACGTGCGCAACTTCCACTGGATCCTCGTGGAGGACGCACCGTCCAAGACCGGGCTGGTCAGCAGCTTCCTGGAGACCAGCGGCCTGATCTACACGCACCTGTCCGCGGCGACCCCGCCCAACTACAAGCTCGGTAGGAACGACCCGAACTGGAAGAAGCCGCGCGGGGTGGAGCAGCGAAACGCGGCGCTCAGGTGGCTCAGAGAGAACCTCAAGCCGTCCAACAGGGGCGTCGTGTTCTTCGCCGACGACGACAATACTTACGCCATTAAGCTGTTCCGCGAGGTAGATGCCAGCCCTCCTCCGGAAGGCCTGTCCGCCCCGTTAATGCGCGTTGCACAGACTACCGAATCTCGCACGGCCTCGCGGCCTCCCAACCGAAATCGGTAATTCGCCGCCGCGTCAAAGGGTGCTCGTAGGGTTGCACGCTTCACTGAGCGACGCCGCGAGTCGAGCCCCGAGCTACTTTACCAGCATGAGCTCCACGCCCGGAGCGGATTGCAGAGCTCGTCAGGATCCCGGATGCAGTTTAGTCCGAGGCTCTGTTCGACGGTCTGCCGAAATCAATTCTGATCGATGAGCTCAGATAGCAACTTTATTGATAATATTCCGATATTTTTAATATTATCAATAAAGATACTATGAAGACAAGTGAAATGAAGGCGATGAGCGAAGCACGGATCTTGTAGCGCTATCAATTTACGTTCGATGAGAGTGACGAAAGCTTTTCAGAATTAATTCTTTGTTCTCTCGCTTTGATTTGATTACGTTATCACTAAAGTATATCTCGTTTGATAACATAGTATTCTGTGCGCCAATCTGCCTTCTTGATCTGACGAAATTACGGTGTTTGATTTCTGTTTATTTCCATTGTACCACTTCGGCGTTTATGTTTTTCATTGAGGGTGGTCCGGTGGAGGGCCGAAACGTTTGAAGATTATTAATACAAAGTGCGACTGTACAAAGATCTATCGCACGTTATTAGTTCCGAACATAAATTGGTAGCGCTACAAAATCCGTGTCTTGTTCGTTATTGGCCTTATTTACTTATTCTTCGTTGAGCTTTTTTAATTTTTCGAATTCTCAAGATGACAGACTCTCAATTGCCGTCGTCGCTGTTCGATAACGGAGATAAGATTGGTAAACTATACAAAATGTGGATTGTAGGCTTTAGGAGAGCTCGTGAGGATTTCGGATACAATGAATCTAGTCCGAAGTTCAGCTCGACAGTGCGTGCTCTGCTGAGGAAATCAGTTCCGATCGATAAAAGCTCAGTAACAGCAACTTTATTGATAATATTCGAATATTACCTAATATTATCGACATTAAATCAATAAACATATTAATCTTACACACCTTTGAGATAACAGGATTCGGTTGCTGTCGTCGGTATTCGATAGCGGAGATAAAATTGGTAAATTACGCCAGCAACTCCGGCTCGAGTTGTTCCCCATATTACAAGTAGATTTATGATCGAATTTACCGCTTTACGTTTTACAGATGGAGAAAATACAAAGAGTCGGTGTGTGGCCGGTCGGCTTAGTCGGCGGCTTGACGGTGGAGAGGCCTATCTGCATTTGTGATAACGCTACTAGTAAGGTGATCGGTTTCAACGCGGCGTGGAAGCCGGACCGTCCATTCCCGCTCGACATGGCCGGCTTCGCCATCAATCTCGAGCTGCTGCTCAAACATCAAGAAGCCTGGTTCTCGTACGACGTGGAAGGCGGCTATCAGGAGAGCGAGATACTCCGGCAGATAGTGACGAGGGATCAGCTGGAGCCGCTGGCGGACTGCTGCATGAAGGTGCGAATCGACCTGGCCGACTTGTTTCCTCCTACACGATCCCGTCAAGTGAAACTTGAAATTGCGCGTTTTCCAGGTGTACGTGTGGCACACGCGAACGGAAGCTCCGCAACTGAACGTCGAGCAGATGCTGATCAGGAAAGGCAAACGTTCCAACGTCGGTATCGAAGTGTGAGGGAAAGATGTTCATCGTCAATTCGCGGAGCCTCGCAAAAGCTCCGCCGATTCCGTGGAACTCAGTGATATTTAATAGATAAATTTTACTTTAAGCTCGTTAACATCGATCGATGCAAGTGTGTGCAGACAAAGGATTAGTAGACCCGTAGATTTTTCATTTCGTCGTTACAGTCTTACGGTAGAACACAGTACAGTGCCATGTACTGTATAGCTTGTAGTCGCAGACTTAGTAACGAAGGCAGAGGCGAAATATTAATCGAACGTCTCTGGCGTGTTTCGTGCAAATGACGCTTCGAAGAATTCGAAGGACTCTCTCATGTGATATCTCGCGCGTTTGAAACTTTTGTCAGCAGTCAGCCCGACTAATGTACGCGCCCTAATATTAATGTTTTTGTACGGAAGGAGTCCACAAAGTGTTCTGTAAATCGACGCGAATAAGACTTCTTATATATCACGCTCATCATATCGTATTCCCATTTTTGTAAAAGTGCAATGTAATAAAACTTAAGCGAGGAAAAATGAAGGAAGGCGTCGGATGTGGGACGCGGGGTTCATTCATCGTCCTTCCTCTCTTGAGCTTGAAAATGTTCCTTCACGTTTTTATTCGAGAGCAGGATTTCTCGTCGCGTACAGAAAAAGCATACATAAAAAATACGCCTTACACCCTATGAAACTTTAATAATACTCGTAATGGTCTCCAAGACTGAAAGAGATATGCGCAGTAATACTTTTCGTGGGAAGCTACTTGTTGGACTAAAATGGCTTTTGGCAACGGATACGGAAATAGCTGCATGTGCGAGAAACGTGATTCGCCGTCTCGCTACGTCGGCGCTGAGTGCCGCCTCGCGACTCCATTTATTTTCTATATATNATATATATATATATATATATATATATATATATATATATATTTTTTTTTTATGTATATTTATATATTTACTCATTGACTTACGTGCTAATAAGTACTATGGTATTTGGCAAACTCTGTCTTACGTAAAAAAGCTACCTGTACGGGAAGCGCGTTTCGCGAACGAGGGAGCCTGCTTGCCTGCTTCTTAGCCTCGGATGTGTCGAGTGCCGAGACAGTGCTCGATAAGAACCTTTTTTTCCGGGTTTTTTTTTTTGCGAATTTCTCACGCTTTATTGTCAGTCGCCTCTTTGGAGTTTTGTACAAAGACCTAATAATACTGCCGTTTTCAAAAGGTTAACGTTCATTTTACAGTCGGGATAATTAAACTTAACAACGATAATTAACTTGAAGCGCAGTTTCAGCGATTTCTCGTCTCCTAAACGTTCGAAAGGGAGACAAAGAAATTGGGTTACGCTCAAACTTAATCACCGTCATTAAGACTCCCCGTTGGAACTCACGAATAAAGTGAGAGAGAAAATTTCACGGAATCGGCAAGTTCATCGAGCACCACCAATTACGCTCGATTTTTTAAAATCGTGATTTAATTGTCGAATTATTCAATGTTTAACTCGATAATTCAATAATTCAAGAATTAAATTACTAATTTTCCATCGTAAGCGGTAACTTTTTCGATTCGCCTCTCACCGACGAATCGTCACGTTTCTCCCTCGTTCGCGTCTCTCATCGTGAAAACACGTCTTCCGTACTCGCGCATGTCTTCTAAATCTACGATGATTCTCTTATTTTCATCATCGATACTTCTTACAGTTAGGGAAAAACGTTTACAAGCATTTACAAAAACTTATCACATTTTAACTGCGTTTTTTTTTTTGCAAAAGCCATCTTAGACGCTAGGACAAGAGTGGTATTTTACTCGCTATTCGGATATATTAATTATATATATGGCAGCTTTTCCGATGTCATTTTCGGGTATCACTGACCGAAAAAAAATCCGACTGGCAAGCTTTCGTATATCCGCGTGACTTGATATCCCGTCACGTCAAATGTCATCTGCTCTTCAGCTACATTATACATACATACATGCATTTATATATATGCATACGTGTATACATATACATATATGCAGAGAGAGAGACTTTTTCATGTTAAGGTAACGTACCAAGATCCGTCAGAAGTCTATTAAAATTCGCGCACCGATTGTTCTTCTTCGGATCTTAACGCTGCTCTTCGTCACAATTCGAGCGATCGCGACTGATAACTTAATCATATTGACTTCCGCAGCCTCGACACATGTCCAATGTTGCGAGAGTCGCCCAGTCTTCCCTTAAATCTTTCCTTCACCAATTTTTTACACCAAGTAGAAAGAATTTTTTCCACCCGGTGAAAAAAATAAATAAAACCGTTAACCCTTTGGATACATTTGACGAGTGAGACTCGTCATCTGCTTACTTGGGCATAAAATGTATTACTTTTACATATTAATCCATATAGCGACAAATTAAATCCGTCCCATGGGCATAAAAATCTTCAAATAATTCAGTACTCAAAGGGTTAATAATATTAAAAAAAGGTAAAACATAAAGAAGAATGGGCCGCCCTCACGCATAACATCATAAAACATCTAACTTTATATCACGATTAAAAAAAAAAAATTGTAAAGAAAATCGAGAGCTTATCTCACTCAAATTAAAGACAAATGTATACATACATACATATATATATATATATATATTTTATATATGTATATATTAGTTATATATATATAAGTATATATAAGTATGGTAAAAAATAAGAAGACTAAAAGGATCCGTTGTGACAGATATGCGCAAGATATTTTGTAACAATAATTCGCTCACATAACTACACACACATGATCGCAAGATTCGACAAAGAACACGCGCGCGTAACGATTGAACGGTTAGAACGCGAGAAGAGGGGGATTCGGTAATCATTTCGAACTATTTGAGTGGCAATCGCTTATACGAGTTTATTGGTTTGACGTTTACAAAAATAAAAAAAGAAACGAATCAGTCTTTCCAAGTTTAAAACAAAACAAAAAAGTCAAATGTCACAATCACGGAGGCGAAGATACGCGAAGGATTAGAAACGCGACGAAGATATCGTGTGTATAATGTGACAGGCTATCTACCGTTCGTGTGTCTCAAGCGACGGTCGCTTTTAATCGAAAGACACGGAGAGACGGACGAGGTATGAATGAGAGAAGATAATAGATTGTTCAAGGTGTATGTACAATACGGAGGTTTGACGCGTAAATCGCGTATACCTCGCTTAAGGGAGGGGAGAGATTGGGAGGGTTTCTCTGTTGCCGCTTGCGGGGTATAACAGCGAAGGACGAGCGTTCATCGATCGTGCAAAATTGGACGATGATTTCTCCTCGCAGGCGATAAACATGCGAGATCTGTCTCGCCGATCTGTCTCAGATTCTCTCTCGCGCGAGCGGAGCGGCCGAAGCGCTTCGTCAGACGGTTAAACGATAAAAAAAATCTCGACATCGCAGGCGTTGTTAAGTGAAAAAAATTGCGACAAAGCATCGAAGACTCGACACATATTACTCGTCTCTTTCTCTTTCGAGATAGAGAAAAAGAGAGAGAGAGAGAAAGATCGGCGAAATCGGTCGCGAGATTATATCCACGCACTCCACTTTCGAGAACCACCAACTCCTGTCGTCTCGATTCTTTCACCACTCTGGGAACACAATAAATGCCTCCGTCGAATCTCGAACTTTTGCACGACTCGGGATCAAACTTCCGCGTCTCACGTATCGCGTATCTCTAACGTTAAACCGATAATAGCGTTAAAAATTCTTTCAATGGCGAAAGAATCAAAGTTGCCTGAGTATTAATAAATCGCGAGGAATACGACGGCGTACTCCTCCTCGCTCTTATACTCTCCGCTCTTATACCCCTTAAAATGCAATATGCATTCCCGTCGGAACGAAGAACGCGAAGTTTCGCCCTACCTTCTGACATCGCGTTTCTCTTACTTGATTTCCTCCTTTAAGCGCAACAGAGTATATGACTCTTCGCGTGGTTTTCGTCAAGTCGCGCACGACGAAGGACGCGAATATACTACCCAGCGTACTAGACTGTGATAATCTAAAGGGTGCCTCGAAGCGTGGATCACTAAATCGATCGATCGACCTCTACCAATTTCGCGGTAAATTTTGTACATTCCCATTGTGCCTTCTCATCATCGTCACCTTCTTTTTCACGCGCAAGCGATCTACCTTACCTCTCACGTTTCCTCGCAACACCCGGGAAAAAATGATCACATATGAATTTCGTCTATATATGTTTATACGTAATCATATATAATTATATATCCTGCGTCGAAAAAAAATACCGTTATACAAATGTAATCGAAGTAAATGCCTGCGTTTATGGCCGTCCACGATGTAAACACTTAATTCAATCAAAATACTTTCTTCTGCTTTTCATTCAACGGTATTTTTATTTCGCGGACACGTATAATTCCATATGATTATATACGATCTTCTTGCCCCGGGCACGCGCTAAATTACGGTTATATCCATCGTATCTGCTTCCTGGAACAGCGGCTACGAAATTTACGGCGCGCATTTGCCGCGCATTTCGCACACTTCTCGTCTAATAAAGCTACCGATCATCCGTGCTTCCTCGCAACATACCGACGGGGTGTGGGAGATTTAGATTGCCTTTACGTTCAAGAGGCAAACCTTCGAAACGTGACCGATCTGTCGGAACACATCGGGCTGAGCCGGACGTTCTACCGGGAAAGTCCGTTGATGCTATTTACGAAGTTACTTTCAATCGCGACCCTCGCGATGACCGTTTCCCCCGTTAAGATACAATTGAGACTCGATTCCTCCTTCACCCAGAGGGAATACCGTTATTACTTTTTTCAGCCGTGAGAAGCGAAGAGAACGTCAGGTTTCCAAAGTTTGCCGCTTGCCTCTAAATCGGTTGACTTACCTCACGCGCGAAATCAGACGATACACAGCGAAAGTCTCGGCGAGTTTACCAATAGGAAGCGCTTTTCAAGGGATCCGCGCAAGGACCTGTGTAGGAAAAGGCGGCGGTGTATCGCAGTACACGAATAAGAGGTCTCGAAAGGGAGAGGATGGGTCGGTCGGATGCGACCGTGAAACCGCGCACGTTTGAGAGCGAAAACGAAAAGCGGAGGCAGAGAGGCCTCTCTCGTGGGTGAACGGCGAAAATGCAAGTTTGCGAGAGGCTTCGCGTCCGGGAAAATTCCGCCGGAGAGCCGGGTTTACTGCAACCCCCCCTCGCCCCGGTTACTTCCGCGAGCGGGCTTCACGATGATGCGCGCCCTGCCACGTACTTCCTTTTCCTCTCTTTCCGCCTCGTTTTTGCCTCCTTCTCTCGGGTTCGTTTGTTTTTCTTTTGTTTCTTTTCGAGAACACTTTAGCCGGAGACCGCGCGTTGCGCCTCCGGTACGATTTACAATCTAGTACGCCGGAAGAATATCTAGACGGCCGAGTCCTTGCCGACAAAGCCGGTCTTGGAGACGGACCTCTTGCCGTCAAAGGTGATGGAGGTCTCCCGACGCAGTCCGGAATCGATGATCGGCGTAATCTTCTTCTCCTCTTTCAGCGGCTCCTTCTCGTCTCTGAAAAAAGCACCAAGACCAAC